ACTGATGAAAAAAAAAAAAAACGCTGGATAGATGGACAAACGGTTACTGTTTCGTTTGTGCAAAGCCTCTAAACTAAAGTGACAGGAGGAACTGGACTGAAATGTTGAGTGGAATATTTTGGAAAAGTGTGGCACATCTCCAGGTAGGACTATTAACTTGGGATCAGGTGTCTCTGGGCTGAATGTATAGCATTTTTCCATGACCTCATTCAACGATATTATTACCTCCGGAATTCCACGAGAGACTGCAGTCGCTTTCAGCTCGGATGTTTGTTTTTTCCCAAAACAAGTTAATCTGGGGCGAATTCAGACAGTAAGACTGAAGTCATATCACGGGCTGAGGAAATGTATGGCAGAGTTAATCAAAGCAATAGTAGATTTCGAGCTTGATGTTGATTTGACTTTGTTTTAAATGATTGCTTCCTTGTTTCAATAAGAGGACAAAGCAATGGACAGGATCGTTTTCCTTTTGCACAATATATGGGTCGTGAAGGGGCGGAGGAAATGTTTTTGTTTTTGAAAATGCGACACATTTCAAAACCACAAATTTATTTTAGTTCCACTGATGTTTTGGTGTTTTATGTGTAAATAGTGTACAGTTGCGTAGTTAAAGTGGAGCTCAAATGCATCCATTCATTATCATGTGAGGTTGATATTCTTTACTGCACAGGTGGGCTAACATACCATGTATATTCGGTCTGGTCAATAAATGTTTATATTGCCTTTCAGTGCTTCATTAGATAGAAATTTAATTGTTTTACCGTTGATGTGTGATCTCTACTGTATTCTGCTACCCATCATTTTGCCTCGCTCAGTTTTCACAGCTAGGAGGATATTAAAGTCAACATGAAATCGAAATGGACCCTATTTACTTTATTAATTCAGATTTTGGGTTTTATTGTGCACAAACAATAATTGTTTTCTTTATAATCTTCAACTTGCTCCATATGAAACAACATTATTTTTCGGCTGATGTCACCTAGGCTGCAAAAATGACAATTTAGGCAACAATAGCAAATAACAATACGTCGCTATACAGTGGAATACATCACATTATGGAAGTAAAATGGGTTGTGAATATCATTTCATGTTGGCTTTAAGCTGGTTCAGTATGTCAGACATTAGTAAAATCTGTGAAAATAAGTTGCCACATCTGAGGCAGCCTGTCGATTACTGAAGACAATCATTTTGACTCGTCCCTCGGTGTACAGACAAGCCGTGAATTGTGTATATTTACAGTTAATAGACTACCAATGTTATCACAAAAGTAGGCCAGGAAGATTAAAGGAATATTTCAGCCAAAAATGAAAATTCGCAGAAAATTTACTCAACCTCAGGCCATAAAATATGTAGATGTGTTTGTTTTTTCATTAGAAGAGATTTGGAGAAATGTAGCATTACATCACTTGCTCACCAG